TTTTCAAATCTTTTAAAAATAAACTTAATAAAATAAGATAAAAGTCAAAATATTTAGTTTATATTTATAAAAATATTTCAGCTCTAAAAATGGTATAAAATTTTAGGTTCGGTCAAAAATTACGTGTCTACAGTTTGCCCCTCTTTGACTGGAAACACAAAGAGTTTTCAGACAAAGAAGTAGACAATGTGACAAGTTTTGACCGGACTCTTATTTGAAAAGAAAAATATACGACCGAGTCCTAGTTTTGGACAGCCTACATTTCCCGGGTTATAAGGGAATCATGTCATACGTAGTTCAAGTAGATGAGACAATGAGTTAGAAGTCGAGTTTAGTTCTATCGAGGCTTCAGTTCGCGGCTCCTATTATTACACCAACATGAGAAACAAAGAATTAAAAGAAAATGCAAGTATCAAATTCTAGCTCTGCAGCTTCTCTTGAATCTTGACTTAGGTCTTTATGTTTCTCAAGTTGTGAGATACTGATTTTCCTTTTGAGTGAGTTCGAAGGTAAATGCCTCTCTCTAGGTAGGCTCCTTCTACTTGGACTTGGATATCGACCTTGTTCTAAAGATGAGCTCTAGCCACTTCAATTGAACATGAGCTTGAGAATTGACTCCCTTCTAGATAAGATCCTGAACTTGAAATATGGATTGCCCTTATTCTACAAGTGGATTCTTGAAATTAAAACAAACAAAAGTAATAACACAAAATTTTGCCCCAGTTTATAATAAAGAAAATTTTGTGAGGAAAATAAAAGACGGTGCTTAGCTTTGCTTCGATACTCTGAATAACTCGTGCTTCATTGTGAGGTACTCTTCAGAGGGCTTATGCATGTAAAAACCAACTTCATTCTTCATGATGAACCAGTTAAATTAAATTATGTTAGTCTAGTCCCTTTATCCAGGAGGATCTTGCTAGTCCCATTATCCAGGAGGGTCCTGCTACGTCCCATTATTCAGGAGGGTCCTTGCTATACTACATCCCATTATTCAGGAGGCTCCTTGTTATACTACGTCCCATTATTCGGGAGGGTCCTTGCTATACTACGTCCCATTATTCAAGAGGGTCCTACCTATACTACGTCCCATTATTCAGCCGAGTTAGGGTTTTCACCAATAAGACTCTCTCATTTTTGTTTCTCCCAACTCACATTCGCCTTATGATGCCGAGTTAGGGTTTTCACCAATAAGACTCTCTCATTTTTGTTTCTCCCAACTCACATTCGCCTTATGATGCCGAGTTAGGGTTTTCACCAATAAGACTCTCTCATTTTTGTTTCTCCCAACTCACATTCGCCTTATGATGCCGAGTTAGGGTTTTCACCAATAAGACTCTCTCATTTTTGTTTCTCCCAACTCACATTCGCCTTATGATGCCGAGTTAGGGTTTTCACCAATAAGACTCTCTCATTTTTGTTTCTCCCAACTCACATTCGCCTTATGATGCCGAGTTAGGGTTTTCACCAATAAGACTCTCTCATTTTTGTTTCTCCCAACTCACATTCGCCTTATGATGCCGAGTTAGGGTTTTCACCAATAAGACTCTCTCATTTTTGTTTCTCTCAACTCACATTCGCCTTATGATGCCCAGTTAGGGTTTTCACCAATAAAACTCTCTCATCTTTTGTTTTTTCTTTCACAGCTCACTTTCGCCTTATGATGCCGAGTTAGGTTTTTCACCAATAAGACTCTCTCATTTTTGTTTCTCTCAACTCACATTCGCCTTATGATGCCCAGTTAGGGTTTTCACCAATAAAACTCTCTCATCTTTTGTTTTTTCTTTCACAGCTCACTTTCGCCTTATGATGCCGAGTTAGGTTTTTCACCAATAAGACTCTCTCATTTTTGTTTCTCTCAACTCACATTCGCCTTATGATGCCCAGTTAGGGTTTTCACCAATAAAACTCTCTCATCTTTTGTTTTTTCTTTCACAGCTCACTTTCGCCTTATGATGCCGAGTTAGGTTTTTCACCAATAAGACTCTCTCATTTTTGTTTCTCCCAACTCACATTCGCCTTATGATGCCCGGTTAGGGTTTTTACAAATAAGACTCTCTCATTTTTGTTTCTCTCAACTCACATTCGCCTTATGATGCCCAGTTAGGGTTTTCACCGATAAGACTCTCTCATGGTTTCATCATTTGTACCCTTAACATACTTACTCTTGACACTTCAAAGGTTGTTCCAAAAGTCTTTCTCCACCCAACTTTTATACAAGGTTAGAAAGTAATGACAAGATGAAGTCTCCAATACGACTTTAAATGATGGGATCGACTTTAGCTTTGGGATAGAAAGAATAAAATAAAAATAATAAAAAAAAAAGACTTTTGCCCCAGTTTTTTGCAAATATGGAATTTTGGATTTTTTGTTTGGTTAGACCGAACCCAACGACAGGGTTGCCTACGTATCTTGCTGAAACAAGAATCAGGTCAAACGTAGTTCATGTATTTTATTTTCTTCTCTATTTTTTTTCGTTTTTTTTTTTTTTTTTTTTTTTTTTTTTTTTTTTTTTTTTTTTTTATATATATATATATGGAAGAGCCAAGGAAGCTGAAGAACCAAGGAAGTAAATTAAATCTCAACAAGGGTAACAACATACAAATTAATACTTAGACACAGAACCAAGAATTTTCATATATCAACCTTTGAAATGTCAAGCCCAAACATAAGGGTTTCTAGTACCGAAAAATCACATCATATATAATATCTCTTCACAGCATCAGCATTGATGACCATTTATGTCATTTGGCCTTCTATATCTGCTAAGTAAAGAACACCATTGGATAATACCTTCTTTACAATGAATGGTCCTTTCCAATTTGGAGAAAATTTTCCTTTGACTTCAGCCTGGTGTGGCAGAATACATCCCAACACTAATTGACCCTCTTCGAAACGTCTGGGACGCACCTTTTTGTTGTATGCTCGTGCCATTCTTTTCTGGTACAATTGTCCATGGCATACCGATGTCAATCGCTTCTCATCAATCAAACTTAATTGCTCCAAGCGTGTTCTAATCCACTCATCATCATCAATTTCAGCCTCTGCGACAATCCGCAGGGATGAAATCTCAACTTCTGCAGGTATAACTGCTTCAGTCCCATATACCAGCGAATAGGGGGTGGCACCTATTGAAGTACGAATTGTAGTGCGGTAACCCAACAAAGCAAAAGGCAGCTTTTCATGCCATTGTCGAGAACTTTGCACCATTTTACGAAGTATCTTTTTTATATTTTTGTTGGCAGCTTCTACAGCCCCATTTTCTTTTGGGCGATAAGGAGTCGAATTTCGATGTTCAATCTTAAATTGACGGCATACCTCTTGCATTAAATGACTGTTGAGATTTGCAACATTATCGGTAACAATTGCCTTTGGAATACCAAATCGACAGATGATGTTGAAGTGAATAAAATCCACCACAACCTTCTTGGTCACTGACTTGAAAGTTACTGCTTCCACCCATTTTGTAAAGTAATCAATGGCCACCAGGATGAACCTATGACCATTCGATGCTTTTGGTTCTATTGGTCCAATCACATCCATTCCCCATGCCATGAAAGGTCATGGAGCAGACATCGCATGCAACTCGGAGGGAGGAGAATGTATCAAATCACCGTGTATTTGACATTCATGACACTTACGAACAAATCGTATAGAATCCCACTCCATGGTGAGCCAATAATAACCTGCTCAAAGTATCTTCTTTGCCAGAACATATCCATTCATGTGAGGTCCACAAACTCCTGAGTGTACTTCAATCATGATTGTTGAAACCTCTTTAGCATTTACGCATCTTAGAAGACCCAAATCATGTGTTTTCTTGTACAATATGCCTCCGCTTAAGAAAAAACGGCTAGCTAGTCGCCGAATAGCCCTTTTTTTATTACTAGTGGCATTAGTAGGACATTCTCCAGACTGAAGATATGTTGTAATATCATGGAACCAAGGTTTACCGTCAAATTCTTCCTCCACCAAGTTGCAATAAGCATGCTGATTACGAATCTGTATGTACAAAGGGTCGATATGAGCTTCGTCAGGATGTTAGAGCATCGAAGATAAAGTTGCCAATGCATCAGCAATCTTGTTATGAACTCTAAGAATGTGTCTACACTTTATTGACACAAACCGTCGACAAAGATCTTGTAAACAATGTTGATATGGTATGAGCTTTGGGTCACGAGTCTCCCATTCTCCTTGAATTTGATGGACCAGTAAGTCTGAGTCTCCTAGCACTAACAACTCTTGGATGCCCATGTCAGCAGCTAACCTCAAGCCCAAGATGCAAGCCTCATACTCTGACATATTATTGGTACAATAGAATCTAAGTTGGGCTGTTATAGGGAAATATTCCCCTGATTCAGACATAAGAACTGCTCCTATCCCAACTCCCTTCTTGTTAGAGGCACCATCAAAGAACAACTTCCATCCTCGATCCTTATCATGAATAACTTCATCGATACACGACACCTCTTCGTCTGGAAAGTAGGTCTTAAGTGGTTCATATTCATCATCAATAGGGTTCTCTGCCAAATGATCTGCCAAGGCTTGAGACTTCATTGCGGTCTACGTCACATAGATAATGTCAAACTCTGTGAGCAATATTTGCCATTTCGCAAGCCTGCCCGTGGGCATGGGCTTTTGAAAAATGTATTTTAACGGATCCATACGAGAAATGAGATAAGTAGTATAAGATGAAAGATAGTGCTTCAACTTCTGTGCTACCCAAGTTAGGGCACAACACGTTCTTTCGAGAAGGGTGTACTTCGATTCATAAACGGTAAACTTTCAAAAGCCTCTCGACATTCTTCGGTCCATTCGACTGTGGCATTCTTTTTTAACAACTTAAAAATGGGCTCGCAAGTTGTTGTGAGTTGAGCAATGAATCTACTGATGTAGTTTAACCTTCCTAGAAGGCTCATAACCTCAGTTTTGTTCTTTGGTGGTGGCAGTTCCTGAATGGCTTTTATTTTTGAAGGATCTAACTCGATACCTCGTCGACTGACTATAAACCCCAAAAGCTTTCCTGACGGTACTCCAAATACACATTTTGCAGGATTAAGCTTGAGATTATACCTGCGAAGCCTTTCGAAGAATCTTCTTAAGTCTTGCACATGATTTGACTGCTTTTTTGATTTAATGATCACATCATCCACATAAACTTCGATTTCCTTATGTATCATATCATGAAACATGGTTGTCATTGCCCTCATATAAGTTGCCCCCGCATTTTTTAACCCAAATGGCATGACTCGATAACAATATGTACCCCATGGTGTGATAAAAGACGTTTTTTCTACATTTTCATCGTCCATAATAATCTGATGGTAACCAGCATAGCAATCCACAAAAGATGCAATCTCATGTTTTGCACAATTGTCCAACAAAATATGAATGTTGGGCAAAGGAAAGTCATCTTTTGGACTTGCTTTGTTCAAATCACGATAATCAACACACATTCGAACTTTGCCGTCTTTCTTAGGGACAGGTACGATGTTGGCTAACCAAGAAGGATATTACGCGACTCGAATGACTTTGGCCTCAAGTTGTTTTGTGATTTCCTCTTTAATTATTAAACTCATGTCAGTTTTAAGCTTTCTCAACTTTTGCTTTACTGGAGGGAACTTAGGATCAATCGGCAACTTGTGAACCACCATGTCAGTGCTTAATCCAGGCATGTCATCATAAGATGATGCAAAAACATCCTTGAAGAATCTTCTTAAGTCTTGCACATGATTTGACTACTTTTTTTATTTAATGATCACATTATCCACATAAACTTCTATTTCTTGATGTCATGTACGCTTATCTTAGTCTCCTTAATATTTTCACGATCCCCTAAATTTATCGTCTCAGTTTCCCTCATGTTTGGGTTTGATTTATTCTCAAAACATTTGAAATCCCTGCTTACTTCTTCAAATACTTCGTCTTCATCATATTCAATTTCTTGACCTATTATTTCAGGATTAGGTCGAAGATTAGATTGGATTTTATGATCCGGTGAAAAATTCTGCATGCATGTCATATCACTATAATCGGCATAGAAAGAACTGTATAGAAGAAAACAAAATAAATATATTATACTGAAATCATAGAAGAACTGTATAGAAGAAAACAAAATAAATATATTAGCCTGAAATAAAAACACAATTACATCCTATTGAAAAGAAAAATAGAGAGTTTGAAATAAAAGGACGAGACAAAATCCGAATTACAACCCTTGAATAAATCGGATGACAAAAAGAAAAACAAGACAAACTACTAAGACTCATAGAAAGAAAAACAAGACAAACTACCAAGACTCATTCTTAACGGGGAGAGGAGTGGCCTCCCAATTGTTCAGCTGGACATCAGGACCAATGAATTGCACATCTCTGCCATTGGTGCCTTCTCCGAGCTCAACCATATCTGCCTCGACAAATAAATTGTGAAAATAGTCGATCAATTCTTCGTTAACCTTCAGCACAGGCTTTGGGAGTGGTGACTCGGGAGGTTCTGTTGTGCGAGCTTTGATGAAAGAGTTGTATATGGGTAGTATAGGCTTGGTGAGTGACCATACATCTTTCTTCTGCTTTTTAGCCTTCATTTTATCCTTGACTCCGGGATCGTATCCTAAGCCAAAAGTACCAAGGCTCTTTCGTGGACTCACCGGATAAGCTCTCCCTTGCAGGAATATTCCCAAGCCTTTACCGGGTTCAAACCCATGTTTCAGCATTTCATTCACCATCATCACGGATGCCATGGGCAATTGTGGTTTCGAAATGAGATTCCCCTCGAGGATATGCTCAACAACCACAACCTCGAAGGTTGATAAACCAATGTTTCATTCTCATTATTCGCCTTGACAAAAGGGAGGGAAGAGTCTGTGTAGACTGACAAGTCCCCCTCACCATGAACAATTACTTCTTGCCGGTCGTATTCGAACTTAACCATTTGATGCAACGTAGAGGGGACTGCCCCAGCCCTATGCACCCATGGTCTCCCCAACAATAGATTGTAGGATGCATTGATACTCAGCACTTGAAAATTCACGGTGAAATCGACAGGCCCTATTTTTAGTATGAGCTCTATCTCCCCAATGGCATCTGTTTTGGACCCATCAAAAGCCCTAACACATACGTTGTTGGGTCGTACCCTTTCAACATTAACATTCAATTTTTGTAGAGTTGACAAGGGACAAATATTTGCCCCAGATCCTCCGTCAATTAGAACTCGAGTGACAAATGAAAGCTCACATTTTACAGTGATATGGAGGCCTTGGTTATGTCCCGTACCTTCCACTGGTAGTTCATCATCTGAAAAGGTGATGTGGTTTACCTCAAAGATTCGCCCAACAATCTTCTCTAACTGACTCACTGTAACTTCATTAGGAACATGTGCTTCATTCAGAATCTTCATTACAGCTTTACGATGTTCATCTGAATGTATTAACAAAGACAACAAAGAGATTTGAGCTGGAGTTTTCCTCTACTGTTCCACAATGGAGTAGTCTGATAATTTCATCTTTCTTAAGAACTCCTCTGCCTCCCCTTCAGTGACTGGACTCTTAACTTGCATTTGGTCATTTTTAGTTTTCCTTAATTCAGCCGGGGCATAGCATCTTCCCGAACGAGTCATTCCTCCTATTTCATCTACTTCTTCATTGACTTCTTTTCCCTTGTATGTCACGATGGTAGGCTCATAATTCCAAGGGACAGCCTTGGGATTAGTCATTGGGAGTTGGGACACTGGCCTAATGATCACAGGTGGAATATAGGCTCCTTGCACGATCAAGATAGGCTTGTTTGGCCCTCTCGGAACAACCAATCTTGCTTCTCTCTGACTTGCCCAAACATCTTCAAGTGCTCCTTTCACAGTTAGGATGGGTGTGTTTGATGGGCTTAACACTTTCGACGTCTTTTCTGTCCCTGAAGGCACCATTTTTGTCAAGTCCACAACATTCGCCGAATTTTCCTTGCCAGTTCCAACCTTAAGGATTGGCTTGTATGGGACTCCAACTTCCTCGCAACCATTCATCATTTCTAACATGTTTGCTTCAGTATGCCTGGGCAGTGGATTTTGATTGATGTTTGGTCCATTTGGGTTCTCAACGATAATTCGATGAGTATCGATCAAATCTTGAATTGCCTTTTTCAAGTACCAGCACCTCTCTATGTTGTGCCCTGGGGCATCAGAACAATAGGCACAGTGTTGAGAATAATCTAGATTTCTCGGAGGAGGATTCGACATCTTTCTTTCAATAGGACTCAAAACATTCAACGTCCTTAATTTTTGAAACAAGCTAGCATATGATTCTCCAATAGGGGTGAACTCGTCTTTAGCTCCATTTCCCCTCTTGTATTCTTTTCTAGGACGAAAAGGAATTCTAACGGTATTTTGGTTAATTTGTGGGGGTGGTGGATGATTTTGAGGAAATGGTGCACGCCATTGCGGATAAGAAGGGGGGGCAATTGGTTGTGCGCTAAAAACGGGATATTGAGGGTAGGGGACATGATATGGTGGAGTTTGGGAAGGAAAATAGTGTTGTGGGTGATTATCTTGGACATAGGTTCGAGGTGTTGATACAACAGTGGCTACATCTTCGTGGTTTTGAAATGAGATTCCCCTCGAGGATATGCTCAACAACCACAACCTCGAAAGCTTGATAAACCAATGCTTCATTCTCATTATTCGCCTTGACAAAAGGGAGGGAAGAGTCTGTGTAGACTGACAAGTCCCCCTCACCATGAACAATTACTTCTTGCCGGTCGTATTCGAACTTAACCATTTGATGCAACGTAGAGGGGACTGCCCCAGCCCTATGCACCCATGGTCTCCCCAACAATAGATTGTAGGATGCATTGATACTCAGCACTTGAAAATTCACGGTGAAATCGACAGGCCCTATTTTTAGTATGAGCTCTATCTCCCCAATGGCATCTGTTTTGGACTCATCAAAAGCCCTAACACATACGTTGTTGGGTCGTATCCTTTCAACATTAACATTCAATTTTTGTAGAGTTGACAAGGGACAAATATTTGCCCCAGATCCTCCGTCAATTAGAACTCGAGTGACAAATGAAAGCTCACATTTTACAGTGATATGGAGGCCTTGGTTATGTCCCGTACCTTCCACTGGTAGTTCATCATCTGAGAAGGTCATGTGGTTTACCTCAAAGATTCGCCCAACAATCTTCTCTAACTGACTCACTGTAACTTCATTAGGAACATGTGCTTCATTCAGAATCTTCATTACAGCTTTACGATGTTCATCTGAATGTATTAACAAAGACAACAAAGAGATTTGAGCTGGAGTTTTCCTTAACTGTTCCACAATGGAGTAGTCTGATAATTTCATCTTTCTTAAGAACTCCTCTGCCTCCCCTTCAGTGACTGGACTCTTAACTTGCATTTGGTCATTTTTAGTTTTCCTTAATTCAGCCGGGGCATAGCATCTTCCCGAACGAGTCATTCCTCCTATTTCATCTACTTCTTCATTGACTTCTTTTCCCTTGTATGTCACGATGGTAGGCTCATAATTCCAAGGGACAGCCTTGGGATTAGTCATTGGGAGTTGGGACACTGGCCTAATGATCACAGGTGGAATATAGGCTCCTTGCACGATCAAGATAGGCTTGTTTGGCCCTCTCGGAACAACCAATCTTGCTTCTCTCTGACTTGCCCAAACATCTTCAAGTGCTCCTTTCACAGTTAAGATGGGTGTGTTTGATGGGCTTAACACTTTCGACGTCTTTTCTGTCCCTGAAGGCACCATTTTTGTCAAGTCCACAACATTCGCCGAATTTTCCTTGCCAGTTCCAACCTTAAGGATTGGCTTGTATGGGACTCCAACTTCCTCGCAACCATTCATCATTTCTAACATGTTTGTTTCAGTATGCCTGGGTAATGGATTTTGATTGATGTTTGGTCCATTTGGGTTCTCAACGATAATTCGATGAGTATCGATCAAATCTTGAATTGCCTTTTTCAAGTACCAGCACCTCTCTATGTTGTGCCCTGGGGCATCAGAACAATAGGCACAATGTTGAGAATAATCTAGATTTCTCGGAGGAGGATTCGACATCTTTCTTTCAATAGGACTCAAAACATTCAACGTCCTTAATTTTTGAAACAAGCTAGCATATGATTCTCCAATAGGGGTGAACTCGTCTTTAGCTCCATTTCCCCTCTTGTATTCTTTTCTAGGACGAAAAGGAATTCTAACGGTATTTTGGTTAATTTGCGGGGGTGGTGGATGATTTTGAGGAAATGGTGCACGCCATTGCGGATAAGAAGGGGTGGCAATTGGTTGTGCGCTAAACACGGAATATTGAGGGTATGGGACATGATATGGTGGAGTTTTGGAAGGAAAATAGTGTTGTGGGTGATTATCTTGGACATAGGTTCGAGGTGTTGATACAACAGTGGCTACATCTTCCCTTCTTTTCTTCCCTCCAATATTTCCAGAACCATTTTGAAGCGCTTGTGTTGTGGCTTTTAAGGCAGCTTGGCTTACGATCTTTCCAGACTTGATGCCATTTTCCACCATTTCCCCAACCTTGATAACTTCGGCGAATGTCTTCCCGACGGCAGAAAGCAAGTAATGAAAGTAATCAGGTTCTTGCGCTTGGAGAAAAACGTCAATCATCTCCGACTCCTTCATTGGTGGTTTAACCCTAGCAGCTTGCTCCCTCCATCTAACGGCATATTCACGAAAATTTTCCGTGG